ATACAGGGATGCAAAGCTAAGAACCAGGGGGCTTCCAGAGGCCTCCATGGCCCCAAATCCTCAAGGTATCTCTTCTTAAAGGTGGCTGGATGCAGATGGTAGAGCAGGGGCGTTATGTTTTCTAGCCACGGTAGCTGAATGACTATGGATGACAACGTCTGTCGTCACTTTGGTGCGATAAACTGTATATCCCAAGCAGAAGAAATCACCATGATTTCAACCATTGGTTTGTGGACTATGGTTTGAAGCCTTGAGTTGTGGTGTTTTAACCGTCAAACCCTTTTTTTGCACCAGAAGTGACTAGGCATGCAGTAGTATCAAGTACAATCACTTGATAGCCTTAAAGCATAATAATAATAATACATTTTATTTTTAGGCGCCTTTCATGACACCTAAGGACACCGTACAATTTGTTAAAAAAGAAAGAAAACGCTAATAAACTGCATACACTGCATGAACCTGTGATCAAACTCAGTTAATGGTTTATATGTTTAAAAATGTATTGAAAAGTCAGGTCATTTTCTCATGGACTTCTACAAAATCTGACTTTTCGCAAGCAGAGGAATAAAATGGAAACCTATTTTATCCTAATCCTAATATCTTAACAGCTATTGGGTGGACTGCCATGCTGTATTGTTCCCAAGGATGAATCCCTTTTGACAATTATCCATCATCTTTCACAAAAGTATATTATTTCCTATTAGGAAAGGCTGATCACAGAAGAGGGAATGGATAAAAAGTGTACAAATGAAAGCTATGAATTTCATTAGGACACTGGAAAAGGCAGTTTGAATTCAGTGTTTCTGAACATATAAATGAATACATTAATAATACAGACTATCCAGCTTTTTTAAATGATCCTGAAGCTGGAAAAATTCAAAGTGTCGCTCTGTTTGTTCAGCATTTAATTCATATTCACCACCAACTCTTACCTGCTGTGCCAGGCTCCTGCATCTGTTGTTGTGATTGGCTGTAAAACAGGAAATGAACTCAGTGGCTGTCACACATGTTTGGACACCAATGACCCGCTCGTCATACACATTTTTACCCAACACACAAACTCCTCTGGGCACCAACGTCCATGGGAAAGCCACTCAATAAAAGCACAAGATCTCATAAAAAAACATCATTAGGTTCCCTTTTTTTGGCATTAATGCTGTTTTATAATGTTGGAAAATATATTCAATGGGTGTCTTTGTCTCCTTCCATTGCTTATGTGTAATTTTGACGTGTGTGTGTGTGTGTGTGTGTGTGTGTGTGCGTGCGTGTGTGTGTGTGTGCTTACTGTCTGCCAACCTGATCCACTCAATGAGATAACCTGCAGCATTCTTCCTCTTGTGTTTAAGAAAAAGGTGTCATAGATTTGCTGATAATTTACTTTCAAAATTCATGAAATCTTGAGTGTATGCCAAGGAGGTGAAAAGGTACACACTTAAATTACAGCATTTGAGTATACACACACACACATTTGTGTAACCAGATCTTGTTGGTGCAGGTGTGCTTCTGTGAGCATATGGAAACAGGTCGTCCTGCAGGTATGAGGACATAAAAAAACATTAGTCCTGGCACGTAGAAAAATACAACAGCAGCCAAACAAACACGCAGTGATAACAGGACACACCCCGCTGACTGGAAGTGTCCCTGTCCTCGACGCCGAGATAATATCTTCATATCAACACAATTACACCTGTCAACGACGACAAGCTTATCGGGGTTTCTGTGTTTGAACTCTGCTGACCGTGAAACACAACTATGAAGAACATTGTGTTTTTTGCATTTACTTACAAAGTCATTATCTACTACAAGACTGGCCGGGCACAACTGGACCCTCTGGCCTTTACATACAAGATGCCACTAAAAGATATATATACAAGACAGGAAAATACTATAAATGACCACAAAGAAACATAAAACGGCCGACCATGAATACATAGACACACAAAATGACTACAAAGAGGCTTGAAAAACCAAAAAGAGGCATGAAATGACAACAAAAACAGAAAGAAAACCACTAGAAAGAGACACAAAACCAGTAAGGGATACAAAACACGTACGAAGATACACAAAGTGAATACAAAGAGACAGGAAATCACTTCAAGACACACAAAATGACTACAAAGAGACACAATACAACTACAAAGAGACACAAAATAACTACAAAGAGACTCAAATTACCAAAAAGAGACACAAAAAGACACCTCAAACACAAACACGAGACACAACATGAGGACTCAAAGACACAACATATCCACAAAGTGTCCACACAAGTGGCAAAGCGACTATAAACAGGTGATTGGAGGCTGTGGCTCAGTGGAAGTATGATGGACTTCGAATCAGGGGGTAGCAAGTTCGAGTCCCACTGCAGTCAGCATGTCGTTGTGTCCCTGGGCAAGACACTTCAACCCAAATTGCTCCTGTGGGGATTGTCCACAGTACTGAATATATGTAAGTCGCTTTGGATAAAAGCGTCTAACAAGTAACATGTAATGTAATGATTGTTACATCATGTCAAAAATGCTCTTCTTCTCTCCATCGTGGCTGCTTCATCTGTCACATGACTTACATCTGAACACATGTTTCAAACTAAAAGAAATTCTTAGGACAGATAAAGTTACAAGAGCACAAGTAGCCAGGCATTGTTACAAAATGTAAGTAAATAGCACATTGTAAACCCATGAGCGTTAAGGAGTGATTTACGGTTGACCGGCAGAGCACACTGAAATGTAAATCGAGCGTCCACAAAGTGATTTCATATCCATTTTTATTTGTTCTCTAAGGATTTTACACATTGTTTTAATGTATCTATGGGGAACCATCGTACTTCTTTTTGGCTCCGTTTTGTTTTCACTTAATATATGTGTGCAGCATGCATCTAAAATATCCACTTAGGGACAATAAAGAATCTTAACTTACATCTAGGGTTACAGTAAATACCTGCATAAAATCTCCTTCAGGCTTTGCCCTATACGCTCTATATAAAGTGCATAAAGGAACATATTTGTAATAACACCTCCTACTCAAGGTGTATTACCGAAAACAAGTCAAAGATTATGTGACACAGGTAAATATTTCTTTATTATTACATACACCCTCTGAAGACTGGTGTGAACTCTACGTGACACCAGCAGGTCAGGACTATAGAGGTAACTTAATCTCTCAGTGAGAATTCTGGCACATTTCCAAAGTATTTTATGACAAATATGGATGCTGATGTTCATCACATGAATGTCGATTGCAAAGTACGTTTTATTGTAAGATAAGGACAAAGAGGAATGTGTAAATCCACATAAACAACAGTGGGTGGGAATTTTCTTTTCTCTGTAAGCGCTGTTAAAGTATGATTGGTATGAAGAGTGGCGTCATGTGAGCACGGCTTTGAAATCAGCTTTATTAACGTGACCGCGGATTGATGGATGACATTTAGAGACAGGTCAATTGTTTGTTTTCCTGAATCCAGACAGTACAGAAAAATTCCTCGAAAGTCTATAGCAGATACGATAATAACTGGTGATGAGAAATATGGTAAAAAGTAATATCCTCATTCTGTGGTAAGTGTATGATGTGCATACCGGTAAAATAAAAAGCTGTCTAACAGAATATTTAATTTCCCATGTTATGAACTTTTCTCTATTTCTGCAAAACCTGTTATGATTGAGTGATCTCCAATTCTCTTTGTTCTTAAGTTTTTTTTGTTACCTTCCTCCCTTTCCTTACTTCCTTTCCACTACAATAAAGAACTGCTTTGAAAAAATTGAGTTGTTTTATTATTTGTTATAGTCAAAAGGTTGATATAAAAGCATTCAAGCAAACAATAGCAGCAAGAAGAGATCCTATTTAAGTTGAATATGAAGAGCATCAAATAAGAAGATTAAGATAATTTGGGAATAATAGTAAATAAATCAAATTAATTGAAAACAAATTGAAAAATACCTAAGTCAAAAAGTTAAAAGGTAGTATTGATAACAATCATAAAAATAATAATAATAATAACTTAAATAATAATACTGATCATAATAATAATAAACTTCTACTACTAGAGAAAAAAAGAATGTATTCAAGAGACTAAAGGTAGTATACATAAAATAAAGTAAAATGTGAGTTAATATCACATTGAATATCGAACAATAATATTTAAATCAAATCAAAAACCTTTGTTTAAAGCTTTTTGGTGCTTTTTTTTGTAGAAAAACTGAGATAAATCCACATTTGTAATGATTATCAAGGTTCAAGGTTCAAGGTTCTTTATTTAGTCATACGAACATAGCTACAGTGTAGTTATGCCGATGAAAATCTTGTGTCACAGGCTTCTCCAACAGAGCAACACAAAACCAGATAAACAGAAAAAATATAGTGCAAGTAAATAGTAAATAGTAAATACAAGAAGAAAAATAGTTTTAAAAAAGTGAAATAGTGAAATAGTGCAATAAGGGTCTATATGCAAGTTATTGAAATAGGATATATGGTAAATAGATAAATATGTTTTAAGTAGCAGCCAGATGAATATTAGGGATGTTGTTTCAACAGTTCAGGTGTTTAACAGCCTTATGCCTGTGGGATGAAACTGTCTGGTGGTTTTAGTCCGGATGCTGCGGTACCGCCTGCCAGACGGCAGCAGACAGAATAGTTTGTGGCTGGGGTGGTGGGGGTCTTTTATAATCCGGAGGGAGTAAAGGTCACCCCTCTAGTGTCAGAGCTCTGCAGCATGCTGTAACACCACCATGATCCCTGACGGTACATCATGTTTTGTCTGCTAATGAAATTATTAGCATACCATGCTTATCTCATGCAGGGTGACAGGGAGTTGACTGTGGTGACAGGTTGCGTCAAACTGGCTCCTCCTCCTTTTACCGCTTCTGCTGCTGCTGTGCCTCACTCTCCATCACAGACGCGTGGACAGGTAAGCGCAATGGAGCATTTATCTACTGTTTTGGAGTAAAAACAGGCAGGTTTACAAATGTTTCTGACATATCTAAAATGTGGATTTGTCTCTTTAACTCGAGGCTGTTCTGCTCGGATGTGAGAGGCTTCCTGCTGCAAGACTTCATGGATTATTATAACTCATAGGCGTGTTTTAGTGTATAACCTGGTGTGTCCTGTAGAGAAGGATTGCTGCAGGTGTTTCTCTGTTTGACTCGATTGTATGGTTTGTGCAGCATGGAAGCTATCATGCTGTACATTGTGTCGCTACAAGAAGCAGATTTTAAACTCGAATCGATCAGCTGGTGTGTTGGTGTCTATGTCTGAGTTTATGCATGTGTTTCTGTGTATGTGCCAGCGTGTGCATTTAAGTGTGTGTGTGTGTGTGTGTGTGTGTGTGTGTGTGTGTGTGTGTGTGTTTTTGAGAGTAGGCTACTTAAAGTCATTCATGCATTAAGGCTGCAATGTTCAGGTGTTGTGAACTCGACTGTTGTGCAGCCTAGTATGCTGCAATGGGGTTCCTTGTTGTTAACTCTAACCCTTCCCGGCCAAACTAATGGATATATACATGGCGGTTTAAAGATAAAACTAGTCGTAGTAGTAAACTAGTACAAAATCAGTCGATTAGGCGATTAGTTGATTGGCAGCAACTTTTTCGATTTTTCGGTAAAAATCCCAAATATTAACTTCTTAAATGTTGGTCTGCCCTCAAATCAAGCGAATTCTTAGCTGACTATTCAGATCTGCAAGAAATTCTCAATATTGTGTATAACTGAGATATGCTCATGGATTCTTAGAAATAAATAATTTAGCATTTCCACTAAATATTGGACGATTAGGTGCAACGGGACATATGACCAAGAATGGCAGTCCTACTGATAAGGATTGGAAAGGGGATTAGCTGCTTTTCTTAGACATATATTACTGTAAAATGCTAATATTTGGGGTGTTTACTGTCTGTCAGATACGAGGAAATAGAAGATAATCTTTTGAGCTTTTGACATTTTAAATCTATCCCTCACTATTTTATAATATTTTCAAGACTATCAATTAATCAATTAAGAGCAAGACATTGGGAAAACAAACTGCAGATTAACAAGTTAAGTTAAATCAACGTAAACAAGAGGCTGTTTTGTTCGCTGTGCTTTTTAAGATCTTCAGGGTCCTGGCTGCTGTTTGGCTTTAATATTTATGAGGCATCAATGTTTAAACAGGTCCAGTTCTGCTCACATGAAACTCGTCCTCTCCTCAGGATGGAGGCCTTTTTCAACGAGTGGCTGTGGAAGGAGGAGTACTGGCTTCCTCCTGGCATCAGCTGGCAGGACACTGAGATGAAGGAGGAGGAGGGACGCTTTCCTCTGCCCAGGGATCTGCTCTTCAGTTTGCCCCTGGCCGTCGCCTTCATCGCCCTCAGATATGTCTTCGAGAGGTGAGACAAAACTGGACCGTGAAACTCACAGACGCAAGATATACCTTTTCTGTGTTTTCATTATCTTTGACGTCTGATGTGCTTAACTCGCAGTAAGTTTTCAATGTTTACGGTGGATATTTGTGGGGATGTTAAACACACGTCATGTCATGTTTTGGCCACTAGGGGTCTCTTAATCCGACATTAAAGGTCACCTATTATGCAAAATCCACTTTTTCATGTCTTTTCTACATCACCATGTGTCCCCTCTGTGTAAAGAGATTCTGAAAGTTTCAGGAACAAAGATTCTCTCACTTTTTGTCCTGATCCATTTATATAAAAACCTGTCTGAAAATAAGCTGATCAGATTTTGGTCCCTTTATGATGTCATAACGATGTTTTGGCTTGTGTAACCATTAGCCAATCACCAACCAAGGTAACCCCCCCCCCCCCCCACCTTATCACCTGAATCTCCTCCTAGAGCACCATTGTGTTCTTTGTAGGGCTGTCAGTCGATTAAAATATTTAATCGCGATTAATCGCATGATTGTCCATAGTTAATCGCGATTAATCGCAATTTAATCGCACATTTTTTATCTGTTCTAAATGTACCTTAGAGGGATATCTTTCAAGTTTTTAATACTCTTATCAACATATGAGTGGACAAATATGCTTTATATGTTTGTTTATTAACATTTGAACAATGACAAATATACTCATGAATATTAAACACAACAACCTCTGAACATTACAAATATTCGCCTCAATTCAACCTGGAACCTCTCTCATACAATAATACTGTGTGTGTGTGTGTGTGTGTGTGTGTGTGTGTGTGTGTGTGTGTGTGTGTGTGTGTGTGTGTGTGTGTGTGTGTGTGTGTGTGTGTGTGTGTGTGTGTGTGTGTGTGTGTGTGTGGAGACACTGTGATGGATCGTTGGAGCTATGTGCCGCTCAAGGCATATATGCTCGAACGTGTGCTGCCTGGACGCTGCAATCATGTAGCGCGTACTATCCGTGCTGAGTGCGCTGACTTTTCGTACAATGTCCCACTGTCTGGCTACCTGCATAAAGTCAAGTGCTCGGCGCAGTTGTCGGCGAAATGTCATTGAAACAGCTCCTTATATCCATTAGCGCAGCTAGCTAGCACCAGATGCTAACAACAACAACACGTAAGGTGTGCCTCGCTCGCGCGAGTCGCGCCACACATACACACTCCTTCCCGGTCCTCCCAATGGCCAGTCCGGGCCTGCCGGTGAGCGTGGAAGTGTGGTCTGCCACAAGCGGGCGGCAGGAGCGGGGCTGTCAGCATCAGCTTGTAGATGGTGTTTTAAAACTCGATGCGCTCTGAAACTACGGGGCGGCGAGGACAAAAAATACACATGCGTTAATCGCGTTAAAATAATTAGTGGCGTTAATTTTTTTTTGCGTTAACGCGTTATTAACGCGTTAACTTGACAGCCCTAGTTATTTGTAACCAAATATCTCTCAGAGGGGCGTGGGGAGCGGCTCCTTATTTTCATCTAAAGTAACAGACAGAGAATCAGCACTTTTGAAACAGAGGGGATTATGGGATGCTGCAATGATCTGTTTGGTGTTTGGAGCCAAACACTTCAGAGACATGTTTTGTATATATCTGAGACCTATAATATCTTGATGAAAAACAGTATAATAGGGGACCTTTAACAGAAGGTGGAGTTTGGTGGCGTCCATTGCAGTCAGCTTCTTCTGGTTAGGATTCCTTCATTGGTTATTATTTGGAAGTCGTTCAACTCAATTGACACTAAGAATAACAGTTTCATTTTCTAAAAGTGAGTGAAACTGCACAATTTTTGCCGACAAGAGATGCTCTAGAGAGGCTGTTCAGGAGTTGTTTCCTATTAGCCAAATTATCCACAGAGGTGTCCTCCTTTACAAACAACTGGTGATTAAGAAATAATGAAAACACTGCATGAAGGATTTTCACATTTAAAATCACTGTTTTTCCAATTAAGCCTGGTTACTGCTAACATTTGCTAAGCTTGTTTCTCTGACAACTTAACATTCTGGCGTCTTATGACCAAAATCCTTCATCTGTTCAAAATATATACTTAAGCAACCCAAATCGAATAAGAGTATTGTTAAAATGTGGCTTTAAAGTGGATAAAAAGTAAATTTATGACGCATACCCAAAGGGGATAGGCCATTACAGGACATAAAACCAAACACAATTACAGATTTCTCTAGTTTTAATAGTGCTGGAAACATTTACACAACATTTTATTGCAGAAATGTTATATATTATGTGTTTAAATTATGAATAATTAATCAAACGAGTAGAGGAAACAGTTAAGCCTGATGGGAAGTCCTCTGAGTCTGTCCCCTTGGTGAAAGCACATGTTTAAACACATTGTGTGTCTTATTTCATCCTGGCACTGGATCCTGCTGGTTTTCTGCATGCTAAGCTGCCTTTGTAGCTCAGCAGAATGGCTCCTTTACCCTTTATTAGGGCTCCAGTAGATATATCAGACCTGCAGTAGGAGGTAGGCATCATGAGTGGACAGTTTTATCTGCTGACTGTGTGAAAGCCCTTCCTCCTCCCACAGGGCGTGCTAAATAACATGTGATATGTGCGTTAAAGGAAGAGAAAGGGAAAGAACTGTGATGGTGGTGGTGCTTTAGTTGATGTAGGTCTAAAGCACTAGTAGTCGGCTACTGATCCTTTGATGATTCAACCTATATAGTGGTGCAGGAATGAGTCTTAAAACCTGGAAATGAGTTAGCGTTTTACTTCGTCCAGTTCACTTGTCTTGAAGTCAATTTTATGTAAGGTCTGTGGTTAACAAAAGCGGAAGGGATTTTAACGTTTTGTTCTACGACACAAATATGTCAGTTAATACCCCACTGGTGAATTTTAAAATGGCGGTTGCAATCATGTGTCTAGATGAGACGACTAAACGTCATCAAGCCCAACATTAGCCGCTTTTAGCTTAGCGGTGGTGACGTGAAGTCATGTGACCCTGCTGTTGTTCCTTTATAGCCCAACATTAGCCACCTTTAGCTTAGCGGTGGTGACGTGAAGTCATGTGACCCTGCTGTAGTTCCTTTATAGCCCAACATTAGCCACCTTTAGCTTAGCGGTGGTGACGTGAAGTCATGTGACCCTGCTGTAGTTCCTTTATAGCCCAACATTAGCCACCTTTAGCTTAGCGGGGGTGACGTGAAGTCATGTGACCCTGCTGTTGTTCCTTTATAGCCCAACATTAGCCACCTTTAGCTTAGCGGTGGTGACGTGAAGTCATGTGACCCTGCTGTAGTTCCTTTATAGCCCAACATTAGCCGCCTTTAGCTTAGCGGTGGTGACGTGAAGTCATGTGACCGTGCTGTAGTTCCTTTATAGCCCAACATTAGCCACCTAGCTTATAGATCATTTGCAGATGATCCTGCTAAAGAAAATGTATAAGTATTGTAAACATTTCTTTGCCACAGTGTATTTTCTGCAATATTCCAAATCAAATCCCATTGAAATTGCCATGCCTGGGTCTTCCTACAAAAATATGAATGAAACAGCCTCTTGTATAGATATGACCAACCACTGGGTGTTAATCAGGAGAGAAGCCAGATGGGAAAACGTGAATGTTAATCCCCAGTAGTGCTTATTATGAGAATCCTGCAGAAGTGTCTAGAGACGTTTGAGGAAATGTCAAAACACCTCTGTGTATCTTAACTATGAGATAATGACAACACCTGAAAATCCATCACTATCAATGTCAGTTTATACAGTATTTTAGGTTGTATCACCCAGCTATTGGACATTATATGGAAAACGATGAATGCAGTGTCTATTTTTCTAGTTTATTTGTATACAGACATACCCATGATAGGATCAAGGATATACTTAAACAGTCACACTATTTTTCATCAGATACATTGATTCATGTCTCTTCTGGACATTGTAAGTACAGTCATTGGTAGTCATAAATGTTTTAGTATCTTTCTGTATTACATTTTTTGTATTTTTTGTTGCATGGTGTGAAACAGAGAGCCAGCAGCTGTATTTTGTAACCAGAAGTGAGGCGTGTGTGGCTGTTAAATGTAATGTAAAGTAAATGCTTGACAACAAAGGAAACCTGCCTGTACACTTAACTAGTTCTGCCGGTAGTTGAACAAGAACTGAACGATGGAGACACATGATAAATGATCAGTTAGATAACGTTAGCACGCTTCCTCTTATCAGCCTCTGTATCATCTGACCTAAAGTTCATTTAACTGCATGAACTTGCTTTGGCCTGAGCGGTGTAAGAGTACCAAAAGTATACCGTAAAGCCTCATTTGTACCATGCTCAGGCAGACTAACATGTACACACCCTCACACAATGTTAGCTATCGAGCAATGTGGATAAATAACTTGCCCAAGGGCTGGGGATCGAAACCACTCGCAATTGGTGGATTGTACTTCCTGAAGAACAGTCACCTGCAGATATAGAGTTATGGTGTTTTGAATGTTTTGAAAGGGTACATTTGGTACATAAAGTGAGGTCGGTTACATAAAGTGCAGGGTTGGTGCTTCCTGTGTTAAAGAGGACCAATGTGATTTGGTTTAGTCTTTGCTCCAGCTTGTTGTTTTTGTTGTTGTGCACAGTGAAGTCTGAACGTGTTGCTTTCATCCGAGGAGCTGTCAGTCAGCTGAAACGTGTGTGTGTGTGTGTGCGTGCGTGCGTGTGTGTGTGTGTGCGTGCGTGCGTGCGTGCGTACGTGCGTGTAACCAAAGACAATGTTCACCTCTGTGTAGAGCTTTTCCTTCCCGCTGATCTCCCCTTGCCCACTTCATGATGAGTATCTCTGAGATACAGCTACACACATGTGATTATGCATTGGTGTAACTAAACTCAGAAAGACACACACATACACACCTACACACACACACACACCTACACCCACACACACACACACACACACACACACATACACACATACACACACACACACACACACACCTACACACATACACACACACACACACACACACACACGCACAAACACACACACAGTCCCTCAACACAGGAAACAGCTGCGTCCCAGGATTCATTGAAATATGTATCAGGAGCCTTTACACTCACATTGTTCCTGCTCTCTCACACACACACACACACACACACACACACACACACACACACACACACACACACACACACACACACACACACACACACACACACACACACACACGCACACATACAGTCTGTCATAATGAACCTCTTTTCACTCTGTCCTGAACTCACATTTGACAGCTGTCCGTGTCATGCTTAGCCTGTGCTGAATCATATTTGTTTTATCATTAGATGTGTGTATTGCGCTTTTCAAATGGAGTTACGAATGTCTTATTTGTTTAGAAGTTTTCTCCCCAAAAAAAACGATTCGAATACAATTTATTTTATTGTTTTCTTAGTCAATTAGATCAGATATACTTTATTCATCCAACATTGTTTTTTTCACGGTAACAGAATTATTATTTTGAAACGTTTTCTCCCCCTGTCATATCTGTTCCTATACTTCCTGTTATTGTCTGTTTTCCACGCCTGTGTTGATTGTGTTGTTAGTGTCACCTGTTCCTCATTAGTCCTGCAACCACCTGCACTTCATCTCCTTATTAGTCCAGCCTCTATTCAAGTCCTTTTTTTTTGTTCAGTCCTGTTTGGATAGTTTTAGTCTGTTTAACCATGCCCTACCTTCCTGGATTACTACTTAAACTAAAGTAATTTGGGTACCACTTTACAATAAGACTACCCTTATAAAGGATTCATAAAGGGTTTATAATTAGGTTATGAATTAGGTTGTAAACACTTTATTAATCGGGGCGGCTGTGGCTCATTGGATAGAGTGCTGGACCTCGAATCAGGGGGTAGCAAGTCCCACTGCAGTCAGCATGTCGTTGTGTCCCTGAGACACTTCACCCCAAATCGCTCCTGTGGGGATTGCCCACAGTATTGAGTATGTAAGTCACTTTGGATAAAAGCGTCTAACAAATTACATGGGCAAGTTACTTCCAAAATGTAATACAGTACATATTACTTATTACTGTCTTTTTTAAGTAATAAGTTACATTACAATATTACTGTCTCTGAAATGTAATGAGTTACACTACTTTTATATTACTTTTGAGTTACTTTCACCAAAATAATCGCAAAAGAATGGCTAGGTATTTTAAATGCTAAAATGTAGTTTGGTGCTCATTATGCATCCAGTGAAGGGCAATGTGGTATACTGTAGCATAACAACTGTGTAGGCCATTAAGGCTACTAACAACTTTTATTACACGGCTTAGTTGAATACTCGATTCTGATTGTAAATTCTTAACATGTGACACGTTGTTAATCCAGTAGTACAGACCACTGTCAAGGACTATAATGAAGGTTGCTAAGGAGCATCAAGAAAGAGAAGCAAAAGAGGTTAAAGACGGAGCGCTGGACGTCAGATAAATCACCAGAAGAAGGCAGAGAGGAAGTAAACAATAACAGGAACACGGAATGGGCTCTGTAGTTTGTTTAGTATGGCCGTGTAGCGGGATAATGTGCAGCGAGGCGGTCCTTATGGGGAAAAGAACACCCGACAGGCTGGATCTTGATGAGCCTGAAGGGTAAACACCAGGTTTACTAATCTACCCGCACATTTTTTTCTCTGGTGTCGGAATGTCTCGCGATGTTGGTAAATTCTTAAAAAACAAAACACCATTTCATTTCGGGTTCAAATGTGTTGTAACTGCGTTACTGAGAATTGTAACGGGTAGTAAATTACCCAAATTTCATTAGTAATGCATTACTTCGTTACAACAAAAAGTAATACATTACTGTAACTCCGTTACTTTTGTAACGCGTTACACCCAACACTGAATGTAATGTAATTAATCATTAAGAACCATTTATAAACCAGTTCTAACATAGTTTTTTCATACATCAACACAGGCTCACTATTTGGCAAGATGACTAAGCCTTACATTGGCTACTTAGCGAGAATAAACTCAGTGAGCAACAGATACCAAGGATGCTGGCTGATGAAGAAGATGAAGTAAGCTAAGTAGCCAATATAAGGCTTATCAGCACAGATAAATGTGGGCTCACTATTTGGCAAGCAACCGGTCACAGTTGCCCTGTTTATCTCATGTCTTATAAAAGCGTATTCATGATTTATAAAGTGTTCACAACCTAATTAATAAATAAATTACAAACTATTCGTAAACCCTTAATAAGGGTAGTCTTATTTTAAATTGGTACCTTAATTACAATGGCGGCTTCACAAAACTTATATATATCTGAGACCTATAATATATTGATGAAAAACAGTATAATAGGGAACCTTTCAATCATATCCAATATCCAATAGTATAGTGCTAATAATATAAGTGTAGCCTTTTCTTCATGCAGAGCTGTGCAGAAATACCCAATTATAATTAACTCCAGTTAGTTGTACTGTAAAGATTGAAGTTTTTTTTGAAGAAACATGTTTTCTCTCCTCTCCTTCAGGCTCTTCGCAGACCCGTTGAGGAAACTCTTCGGTGTGGAGGAACGGGTTCGGATTCGAGTCGTTCCCATCCCGAAGCTGGAAACCTTTTACTCACAGAACACCCGGTTACCTTCACAAGTTAGTATTGATGTTCTGGTTTCACTGTATTTTGGAGTGAAAATCCTAGTCAGTAGGGGCTTGGACTGTGAGCCGTAGGGTCGCCGGTTCAAGTCCCCGAACAGACCAAAATATGGAGTGTGGACTGCTACTTGGAGAGGTCCCAGTTCACCTCCTGCCCTGCCGTGGTGCCCTTGATCAAGGCACCGGACAACCCCCTTCCTCCATTGCTCCCTGGGCGCTGTACAATAGCTGCCCACTGCTCCTAGTACTAGACTCCTGGTACTAGGATGGGTTAAATGCAGAGGCCAAATGTCACTGTGTGTGCTGCATGTGTGACCATTAAAGAGGGGGTTCATCCCTCCGATTCTATTCTGTTCTATTCTTTGTTTTACTCTCAGGCGTCAAACAGGCTGTCCTAGCTTAAAAAATACTGTAATCCCTAATTTTATCTAAAGTTTATTCCAAAAAACACTCGCATAACACATTTACTCATATCACCTCTTTTGTGTCTTTCAATTTGGAAAGTAACCTCTTTAATTGTGCATTTGGCACCGAATCACCTCAAACATAGTCCTAAATTATGGAATAAAGTCATACCATTTTATGGTCTTAATCCTTTTTTAACCAAATGTATTTACTACACACTGACAGACAACAGTGGTTATATTTTAACTTATTGTCCAAAATGATGTCCCCTGCAGAGATGCTGTGTCTCTGTTGAGAGGATGCCACGCCTAATGGGATCTCTCACTATAAGCCTCACTGTCATTATGCTTCGTAAAGTCAGAAACAGTGAAGGAAAATGTGTGAGGAAATGCAACAAGTAAAAAAATACATGAGTAGTACTGGCTCAGTTTCTTCATAGGGAGTGTGTTCGTATCTCTACTCGAGGGAATGATTAGCCAGTTGTGGGCTAACTCTGAATGAGGATCAGTTAACAAAAGAAGAAGTTCTCTGAGAGGTTAATCTCATGCTGAGTGAAGGTAAAATGATTAGTCATGATGCAGCGTGAGAAAATGTGACTTCCTTTTAACGCCTCCATTATCAGTGTGTTGTATGTCCTCATCTCTTATCACTACCCCCCTTTGTTGTTAGGCATAAAAAAACACAACAGCATTTCATAACTGTAGGATGGCAATCGTTTCATTATGCAGAAATGTGTCTTGATTGATTTGCACATGTAAGGAAGGGACATGATGTGACATACCAGATGGAAATGCCTCGCCCTGTTCTGTGCTGTTTGTCATGTCTGTTTGCCCTGACTTATTTGCACATGGTCTATTTCCCTGCGGTGTGGTCTAGTAGCAGCCGCACCTGTCTGATGTTGTTTTGACATGTAAATACGAGGCCATAGGAAAAGCAGGCAAAGTACATAGTACACTTATTTTTAAAGTAAGATGAAGGCGGCTGTGGCTCAGTGGATAGAGTGCTGGACTAGTTTGAGCCCCACTGCAGCCAGCATGTCGTTGTGTCCCTGTGCAAGACACTTCACCCCAAATTGCTCCTGTGGGGATTGTCCACAGTACTGAATGTATGTAAGTCGCTTTGGATAAAAGCGTCTAACAAATGACATGTAATGTAATGTTTAATGATTTTTAATAGTTTCTTTTATTTTGGATATTGACTGGCTAATGTGCCATTTTATTGGTGTTTTTACAGCTGTACACAGTCAAGGGATAATGTTTCACTAAAGAGGCAACCTGAAAAGTGAAGCCAAAGTAAAAGTGCTTTAAACGTGCATTCTCTCTAACATCCAGCAGGGGGCGACAAAAAGAAGTCCGATGTTATAGAAGTCTATGAGACAATCCCTTGGGTTCTCACTTGATTTATCACCTCAGGAAACATTTTTCTGATGAGTTTTTGGTCTCAATCTCTAGTTTTGAATCTTTTCAAAACAGCATGATGTTCATTCTGCAAAGTATGCTCCTTAATTTAGAGTAAAATAGGCGATTAGGCAGCATGTGCTTAATGGCGGGGCAACTTTATGATTTACAGGTCGCTAACGCACGTTGTTGTTTGTGTCTTTATTTTTCAGTGTTTAGTTGAATTTGTTTAAAGTCTGATTGTAGAAAAAGCAGATGCCAAAAACCAAGATGGTGGAGACCAAAATGCAAAATAGCAGGATTCAAAACCATTATCCTTAACTGGGGGCAAGACACTTCACCCCAAATTGCTCCTGTGGGGATTGTCCACAGAACTGAATGTATGTTAGTCGCTTTGGATAAAAGCGTCTAACAAATGACATGTAATGTAATGACATAATGGTTAAAGAGAGGTTAAAGGTGGGATAGGTAAGTTTGAGAAACCGGCTCGAGATACACTTTTTGTTATATTCCATGGAATGCTCTTAACATCCCGATAGCAATGAATATCTGAAGTGCTTTGACAAAAAATCCATAAAAAAATGTCATCTGTGGAAGCCGTAATACTGTAAAAAGCACGACCAATCATTTTAGCCGGCCCGGCTAAAATAACTGGATGGCCTACCTGCCTGTCAGCCTTCCATCTGTGCACAAACTTATCTCGTGCCCTCATTGGTCATGTGCGCGTTCGTGTGTGTTGGAGGAGGGGCTCTGTAAGGAAGTAGCAGATTTCTTCCGGTTGTGTATTTTCAAATTCTAGCGCACTCGAGCTGGTTTCTCCAAAATGACCTACCCCACCTTTAAATATATACGGTCTATGGTTGCACATCAGGGTTCGAGTTATAAACTGAGCTCTATGGGGGTCTTTAAAACTAACGCGTGCTTGCACACACACACACACACACACACACACACACACACACACACACACACACACACACACACACACACACACACACACACACACACACACAGCAGCAGCCCTCTACTTGCTACAAACTTAAATATGAAAAGGTTCAACTATGCACACACACATCATCTCGGCTCGCGCAGCACGCTCACAGGCATAGATTGCGCAATAATGTATTGCGCACCTTGGAGGTGCAGTGCAGGCATATTGTCATTCAAGAGATGCGTAGTTCTTTTGGAAAACATGTTTTTCTTTTATCCTATTTACCTCGTTAACGTAATAATATTCATTACATTGACACATGCGTTATTTGTGATTACAATAATGGTTGTTGGTAATGTATTAGCGACCCCCACAGATGTATGATTTCACTGCGTCCGTGGGAGCTCAGACCCTCCTTAAGGGAGCTCAGCTCCCATTGGCTCCCACATAACTCGAACCCTGTTGCACATGCAGTAAAGTTGGTTTCAATTAATGTCCTTTGATACAACACAGCTGCACTACAACCCTGAGATGCAGAAAGAGATAGCAGGGAGCAATCTTGTTAAAGGCTTGTGGGTGCAGAAGTTATGATTGGATTCATCCCATTTATCACTGTGGGATTCCTCCTTTTTGACAGGTACAATATGCAGATGTATGATATCTATCTTCCTGTAATAAAATAGTAACACGGCTGTCAGCGTGGAGCTCAGGCTGATCATATTTCACATGTGAAATATATCATACGAGAAAAGAGAACAGCAGGCAGCATTTAAAATGTCTGCCGTTGTGCAACATTAAAGTCTAACAGTGTATACGTGCATCCAAACTGTGTGTAAGTATCAGAGAGGGCAAAAGTACACACATCCTTTACTCAAGTAGAAGTACAGATACTCGTGTTTAAAAATACTCTGGTAAACGTAGAAGTACTGACTAAACTTCTTCACTCAAGTAAAAGTAAAGAGGGCTTTGAAATGTACTTCAGTAAAAAGTACCCATAACTAGCAGCTGTTTTAAAGAGTACCTGACCTCCCTTTATATTAATAGAACAATAATGTCATTGTTAGCTAATGAATGTTTCCATGCTGAACAACGGCAACATGACAACGTTTTCATTGGTCCCTCTTCTTTAGAGAAGACCAGGAAATGATGGATACACGGATCGTGTTCAAATCAATAGGCACGCAATGACTCTAAATAATAATGATCACGCCACCAAACACACATTCAAACTAAAGGAACCAGCCTGTTTGGAAAATGTAAGAAGTAGAAAGTACAGGTATTTGTGTTCAAAATGTAAGAAGTAGAAAGTACAGGTATTTGTGTTCAAAATGTAAGAAGTAGAAAGTACAGGTATTTGTGTTCAAAATGTAACAAGTAGAAAGTACAAGTATTTGTGTTCAAAATGTAAGAAGTCAAAGTAAAAAGTCGTCAGAAAAATAAGTAGTGGAGTAAAGTACTGATACCAGAAAAATGTACTTAAGTACAGTAACAAAGTATTTGTACTCCACTACTTCCCACCTCTGGTAAGTGTGTATGTGTGTGTCCTGTGTGTGTGCAGAGTGACGTGTTGAGCCTGGGGAAGCAGAGTGGTCTCTCTCAGAGGAAGATTCAGACCTGGTTCAGACACCGGAGGAACCAGGACCGACCCAGCAGGACCAAGAAGTTCTGGGAGGCCACGTGAGTTAGTTTTTTCCTTAAACACACATACTTTCACATATTTTAACTCCGGTATCTTCAGCAAGATATGTAGAAAGTCTCATATTCTGAATGACTTATTTCACCTCTACCGTTACAGAAAAAATGACAGCCATGTTTCAAGTCTGAGCTGAAGATTTATGTTTTTCCAAATGAGAATTACATCTGTAAAAATTCAGCGTTTGAATGAAACTTTCATATTCATGTATATATATACCAGAGGTGGGATTACAGATCACAACAAAGTCTCAAGTTGTAGCCCTCTAGTCCCTGCTGAAGTCGAAAAAAGTTCATAATTCAAGTCATTTGAAATTCTGAAAATGTGCCCCGATTTGAACTGCCTCAAAGTTAATACCGTCACTTTATTAAATCCGTATTGATTTTATTTTCCATGAAAACTGCCCCTTTGGATTTTCTATGTCCTCATAGGTTTCCATGTTTGCACGCATGTCACTTAAAATCATCCAAACATGTTTAGAAAACAAAACGTGGCTTTCTCAATATGAAATATAGAAAATCATATGTTATATTATCCTTTCAATTCAAGGGTTAGGGTGCATCAGTTTTAATGTTATACCATAGTAATTAATGCTGCAAAGCTGGGTATTTTGAGCTTGAAGCATGCAGAGGCTAACAACAGCTAGCTCTAACGCCATCGAATAGGACGTATATTTACCTTCTTTCTCTTACGGAATCGTCGTTGAAGTTGATGATGATTGTAAAGAACTTTTGAATGTAGCATGTAACGACTGTAAAGTTGGTAGTAAAGTCGTCCCATTTCTTCCATTTCGTTTCGACAGAGCAAAATGAGTAGCGCTTCAATACAATCGGTCATTGTTGTTGTTGTCGATGTGAGGGATTTCCGCGCGGTTTGGCTTGACCGAAAAACCGGTTCCGAACCAGAAAAGCTCCAGCACGGAGCTAGAATGGGAAAAGTGTGAAAGGGGCATCAGAGGGGCGTGGGGAGGGGCTCCTTATTTTCATCTAAAGTAACAGACAGAGAATAAGCACTTTTGAAATAGGGCTGAAACAGAGGGGATTATGGGTAATGCTGCAATGATCTGTTTGGTGTTTGGAGCCAAACACTTCAGAGACAGGTTTGTATATATCTGAGACCTATAATATACTGATAACAGTATAATAGGGGACCTTTAACTAATTCACTAATCTTATTTATACCACAGCCTCTAACATATGATGGTGTTTGTTTGTACAGCTGGCGTTTTGTCTTCTACCTCGCATCCTTCACTGGGGGGCTCGCCTCTCTAATTAATGTAAGTCTGCTTTCAAAGATCACCCTGATCACAGTCATTGATACAAAGTGAAGCAACAGCAAGGTGTTGGATTTATTATTTAAAGTGAGGAATAAAATAAACAAGCAGTCATTTATACTCATTCCATAATCCCACAAAAGTCTCGTTCTGTATGACCCTGATGATGTTTCGATGTTACAGACTTCCTGGTTCTGGGATCCCAGCGAGTGTTGGAGAGATTATCCCAAACAGGTGAGCAGATAACGTGATTTAAAATAAAAATATTTGTTAATATGAACTGTCAACAATCAAGCCTCATAAATTAGGTGACATATTGTTGTCTCTTCATATTTTAGTTTATCTATTGATTAAGTCAACATGCCAAACGTTTGCTTGTTTCAGCTTCTCAATGTGATTATTTGTTTATATTTTAAATGTTATGTGACCATTGGTTTGACAAAATACACCATTTTAAAGTCATTTGCTTGTCATTTTGTTATTCTATTTAAAAACTAAAGAAAATGTGAAAAATAGTTACTTTTTCAGAATAATAATTTGCTTTTAAAAACACAATACACTTTTAACAAATAATAATAATAATAGATTCAATTTGTATAGCGCCTTTCAAGGGACCCAAGGCCGCTTTACATGGTGAACAAACAAACAAGAAGGGCCAATAATAAAGTAAAAATTAAAATAAATATCAGTAGGAGTGGAAGCAGGGGGACTGTGATGGGTTAGGGGTCAAAGGCCATGGTGAATATATGTGTATCTAAAGTTGAAACCACTGCAACAACTGTTTAAAGTACAACAAGGTGCATTTATCCAATATATTACACTAAAAAGAAAGTTCAATATTTGTTTAAACAATATTTATAATATATCTGTGCCGTTACCATACTGTATATAATAACATATCACAGAAGGAAGCCATTTTTCTACAGAAATACTACTTGTACTTTTGATACTATCGGTTCTGAAAATACTTTTGACATTATTTTATTGGTAGCTTAAGCAAGCGATGTGAATACTTCTTCTACCTCTGGACGTATCATATTTATTTTTAAATATTTTTATTGAAGACACATAGAAAAGACATTTGGTACAAGTTACAAATGTTCAACAGTTCAAAGCCACTAGTGTTCAGCTGAGTGCCACAGCCTAAAACCCGGAAGTAAGTTAGCATTTTACCACTTCCGGTTCCTTCGTCTCAGAGCCAATGGAATTTCTCCATAGGGTTTGGGAAAATAGCTGGAACTAAGGTCTGTGGTTGAGACACATTGAAGAGAAGGATCACGTTTTGTTCTACAACATTAAATCCATCAGCAGTGACCCCACTGGTGATTTTTGATGAGTTTACGTGTCTGAAAAACAATGGTTGTTACCAAGTGGCTGAATAGGACTACAGAAGTTGTCGAGGACGTTGTACGTCATTACGCCGAACACATAAACACTCCCGCTAAGTTTGTTTGCCCCTGTTCTGCTTGAAAGCAAGTACCTGCCTCCTGCAAACTGTTCAAACAAACGCTTCAACTCGTACACTTTAGAATCTGTATGTTTGAATATGGATCTTAAGTTGGCGTGACGTTGCAGCAGCGACCCTGCTGTAGTTCGTTTATAGCATAACGTTAGCATTTTGCTTCTGGCAACTAGATTTATGATTAGAAAATTATAAAAGTAGGGTAGACATGTGGAGATTATCCGACTGAACAAAACGTGACCCGTCTCTTAAATGTGTCTCAACCACAGACCTTATTTCCAGCTATTTTCCAAAATCCTATGGAGAAATTGGATTGCGTTTTTGTCGAAGGAACCGGAAAGAGTTTACTTCTGGGTTTTAGGACGCGTCACTGTGGCACTCTATTGGCAAGCCATACATAGATGATCTTCCCTTGAAGGCGTACAATATTTAAACCACAATTATAACCAAAACAGACCATGTAGCCAAAATGTAAGAGAGTGGACGTATCATAATAGAGATTTTAATCGGAGTGAAAAACGATTTTCCCTCATAACTACTCTTTATCCACTCACTTTGAAACTCTTTTTTTGAAAAGCTAGTACCTCCAGAGGCGTGATGTTAGTTTAACCTGCGGGGTCACGGCCTCCAACAGAAAACACTTTTGAAATGCGACGCTGCATCTCTGTGTATATCTGCGGTTTGACAGATTACAGCCTGCAGGCAACACTGTTCAAGTATTCCCTCTCTGTGGTCTTGTGATGGAGAGAGAGGATGTGTTTGTAAAGGGTTAACCCCCCCCCCCCCCCCCCCCCCTCAACTTCCTACTATTGTGTTGCTGCAGGCAGTGGATGCATGAGGTGCTATGATATCTAAAAATACTTTCTCTTTTAAAACACAGGTTTGTTAGTGATGGAAATGTGAGAAAGCTGTTATGTAACTGTCTAGTTTCCTGCAAAAAATGGCAAGAGATTTAGAAAATGTATGCCTGTAGAAGCTTTCTGAATACAGTCTGAGTGTGTACTTCTAAGCCGACACAAATAAGCATGATGATGCAAATGTTTCTGCAGCATTCACACATATTGTTTCTCTCTTCCTCTCATTCTTAGCCTGTGGCCGACGCTCATTACTGGTATTACATGTTGGAGATGAGCTTCTATCTGTCGCTGCTTCTGTGCGTCTCTGTGGACGTCAAGAGAAAAGTGAGTGACACACACACACCTACAGTTTTTGTGATCAAATTTGTATTTACTTATTTCAGGTAGAAACACAGAACAACATGGTATAATAAACATACATACCATGTAAAGCAGGGGTGTCAAACTCAAGGCCCGGGGGCCAAATCCGGCCCGTGACTTCATTTTCTGTGGCCCCACAAGAGCTTGCAAATAATATAATATGTTTATTATATGGTTCCATGCCGATTTACAGAAGCACGTTGCCCATAAACTACATGTCCCACAATGCATCTCAAATTTGACTTTTTTTTCAAAACGTTACTTTTTTCCCCCAAATTTCACGCTTTCATTTTTCTTTTTGACTTTTTTTCCAGAATTTGGCTTTTCTTTTAAAATCATTTTGTGACATTCTCACCGAAGACACTTGCAATTATTTGCCCTAGACTTCTGCTTTCAGACGTAGTTAATTATGAAGTTATTACCCTATCCCATAATAATCCAATGCAGAGGCAATAATGTAATATAATACATTATTTTATATATATTAAATATTTATATATGTATTTTTATATAGTCTTAAAATTATAACCGGCCTGTTGAGTGCAACCATAATTCCAATGTGGCCCGCGATGAAATTTAGTTTGACACCCCTGATGTAAAGGAACATGATATGTATGTGAACACCTGTTTGTCACATGGTTTCCTCGGCATGTCCTCTCATTTTGGGCCTGAGGTTTTCATCTTTTAGTGTTTTTGCAAGGTGTAATCCCATTGTTGTTTTCCTCTTGCAGGATTTAGAGATCAGATTATGCACTGACTGGATTATCTTCTATTTCATCAACACTTGCTGTACTTTCCTCTGATTTTCAAATGTAAAGACTAGTAACAGATCAGCATACTGTAACAGTCGTTGAACTAGAATAAGAAACTGATTAAACCCAGACGTATACAAGAAAATGTATGCTCTTAACTCCTCAGTTAGACTTTGCTGCATTGCTAAAACACTCTTTATGTTGAATTTACAGTAAGACGCAGTCAAACATGCACACCACACACATCGATGTATTTCAGATGTTTTTCATGTTTTAAGGGAATTGTAGATGCTGCTGCAGCTTTCTTAGGATCTAATATCTTTAACAAATCCCTCCAGACAACATGTACATCTGCCTTTACCAAACACAAGACCACAACTGCTGAATTACTAGTTATGCTGCAATACACTTTGTGGTATGTGTGTGTTCATGTGTGTGTGTTCATGTGTGTGTCCGTGTGTGTGTTCCAGGACTTTAAGGAGCAGGTCATCCATCACATCGCCACCATTTTCCTCATCGGTTTCTCCTACTGTGCAAACTTTGTGAGGGTGGGCACTCTGGTGATGCTGCTGCACGACTCGTCCGACTTCATCCTGGAGGTAAAACACAACACTGTGGGAAGTGATTAGGGAAGGACATATCATGCACATGTTGGGGTTAATGCTTGTTTTTTGGGGTTCTATTATTATGATTATGTATTTATTTCAACAAGGGCCATGCATACAAAGACATTCATCTCAGAAAAGAGAAGATATGATTTATGCCAGATTTGAGCTAATAGCTAATTTCCATCTGCAGTCCTCAGGCAGGTTCATAACAATCAACAAACACTAACACATTGCATAATCTCTATCACACAAACAATTATAAAACATGATTTAAGTACACGTCAATAAAATAATACATAGTTCAGTTAAAATATAATATTACAATACAGTTCAAATTGAAATACTCAGACATAATATGGTTATATCCTTTTATATTCATTGTATCATACTGTCTGCCTGAAAAGTACATATTACCGCCTGCATCTTTAAGCCCCTCCTCCTAAAGAAACCAAGTCTGCTCTGATTGGCTTCTGAGAATAGTTGCAACGGTCGTTTTTGCAACTTGTTGACACATTATTTGCAAAGAAACAAGTACTATGGTCAACAGAAATGTAACATTTTGCTTTCAAAATAAAAAAAACTAATGTGTGGCAGTTTTTTAGTTTGTAAACAACAACAGTAACTCGGAGTTAGATTCAGATTCTGTTTTAAATATAAAAAACATAGACCAAAACAAATTTAAACACAAATCACAAAGTGCACATTTAAAAAGTCGTCATATTGTCCAGAGTGTGTAAAATGCATACATTTCTCAAAAACTTCCAAATATCATATACTCATTGTCCTAAGTGTTTTTGTTTTTATTTTGGAGCTTTTAAGGCAGGGGTGTCAAACTCAAATACACAGTGGGCCAAAATTAAAAAATGGGTGCTCGTCGAGGGCCGGACTGGTTCAATGTTTATTGCAGAACTTATTGAAATGAACTTATTGCACATATTAAACCTGGAACTAACTAAGCTTAAATGATTGCCTATAAAAACAACATTAAACATTAAATAATCAGTTGCATTCATTTCTTATGGCTCTATCTGCAGCTTTTCCAGAGTAATTTCTTATGAGTACATTTCTCCACAGGCCAACAACAGCTTCAAAAAAACTATTTCCCTCAAAGAGAAAACCCAAACATGCCCTGCTGTCTCAAGAAAGAAAGTGCAGAAGGAAACATCCATGTAAACTCAGTGTGCTGCTCTGTGATGCTAGTTCAAGCCAGATACTTGGCATCTCATCTCGGGTGCAAGGTCATCAATGTTTGGGGTCAGGCTCTGAGCTGAGGAGACCCTCAGGATTGAGTGAAGGTCTGCGTGCAATATACCAGCGGGCCAGATCTAATAGTAATTAAACATTATCCTGCGGGCCGAAATTAAATCCACCAAGGGCCTGATTTGGCCCCCGGGCCTTGAGTTTGACACATGTGTTTTAAGGTTATTTGTATAGTTACATTTAAATTTGGTGTAAATTCTATTCTTTAGCATCCTTTTTTAATGCTAAATTGATTCTTAAAAATCCTTATTTATTCTTATATATTTATTTTTGTACCTACTTTGCAACTTATGTTTTGGGATTGTTTATGTTCGCACCACCAGATACCAAAGCAAATGTCTTGTATGTGTAAACGTACCTGGCAATAAACTTGAAATCCAACCTACTTCATTTTCTGCTTCAATATGAAATGTAGTAATCTTATTTAATTTCTCTTGTTTGTCGGTTGGTAGGCTTTCCAGATACCAAAGTGTATGTGCACAAGAAAAATAGTTTTTCAGGATGTGTTCCCTTTTACTCGGAGAGAAAGGATGGAAGAAATATAAAACGCAGCATTAAGAATATTGTTTACTTATGTCCAACACTTTGAAAAGCCGTTCACACTATCTTGAATACAGCCTTTGTGTTTTTATGGAGGAGGTTTTCCTTTCCTTACACCCTGACACATTATTAACTGAGCTGCTCTCAGTGAAGCATTATTCTGATAGAGACCCTCAGGAGCTGTGAAAGTGTTACCTGCAGGTTCAGAAACAATGGCTGCTTTGTCCTTGGGTTTTATGAGGCTGATATCACAGGGTGTAACATTTCACTGATGGTATCTGAGAATAACCACTGTCACTCGGAGTGGGGGGAATATGTGGAGCTGGTCACATGACCTGGGTGTGGTCTGATAGAAGCAGAGATGGTAAAAGTACACACATCCTTTACTCAAGTAGAAGTATAGATACTCGTGTTTAAAAATACTCTGGTAAAAGTAGAAGTACTGACTAAACTTCTTTACTCAAGTAAAAGTAAAGAAGTATGGACTTCGAAATGTACTTAAAGGGGACCTATATATAGCTACAACGGAGCTGATCCAGATTTGCGTCCGATATGACGTAATATCGGAAATGTAGGCTGGCTTTACACCCACGGCACTATCAGAAACGTTGCTATCAGAAACAATGCCCGACTGTTTTGGACGTAATATGGTCGGTATTTACATTAGCATCGCTAACACTCAGAGCTAACCTGTACTGGAGAGCATGTGTGTGAAGAAGCAGGAAATAAAAAGGAACTCACCTTGTGGTATAACCGGCAAGAGAGAAAGCCTTTGAGCTCCATACTGTTTCAGAGATAATCCTTGATAATCCATGATATGGCGTTTCATCACGGCAGTATTTAGTTTAGACAGTAGCTGCCGGGTCCCGCATGAGCTCAGACCCCTCCTTTTTTTTTTATCTTTTTTTTTTTTTTAAAGCTTTATACCCAAAATAAGCACTTTTGAAACAGGAAGTGAAATAGAGGGATATGAGTCATGGCTAGAATGGGTTATCTGTTTGGTATTTTGAGCAAAACACTTCATAGACATGTTTTTTATATATTTTTATATATCTGAGACCTATGCTATTGCCTAGAAATAGCATGATAGGTGACCTTTAAGTAAAAAGTACCCATAACTAACTGCTGTTTTAAAGAGTACCTGACCTCCCTTTATATTAATAGAACAATAATGTCATTGTTAGCTAATGAATGTTTCCATGCTGAACAACGGCAACATGACAACGTTTTCATTGGTCCCTCTTCTTTAGAGAAGACCAGGAAATGATGGATACACGGATCATGTTCAAATCAATAGGCACGCAATGACTCTAAATAATAATGATCACGCCACCAAACACACATTCAAACTAAAGTAACCAGCCTGTTTGGAAAATGTAAGAAGTAGAAAGTACAGGTATTTGTGTTCAACATGTAAGAAGTCAAAGTAAAAAGTAATCAGAAAAATAAGTAGTGGAGTAAAGTACTGATACCAGAAGAATGTACTTAAGTACAGTAACAAAGTATTTGTACTCCACTACTTCCCACCTCTGGATAGAAGTCATGAAGGGGTGACGTGGGTGTCATATTCAGAAAGAGACTCCTGTATAACTAGGCCTGTGTTTCTGAGTAGGACTGGTGTATTTAGAAATTGGTAACCCTTTTATTTTAATAATTAATCAAAATGGGAGTCAGAAATGCTTTATTTGTCCCTGGGGGGAAATGCTCCACAAGGAAAAATAAGTTTAAAATAAATTATTATTATTAATAATATAAAAAGGAAATTAACTAATAATAAATATAAAAAGGTAATTTAATAATAATAAATACAAAAAGGTAATTTAATAATAAATATAAAAAGGAAATAAATAAATAATAATCAATATAATAAAGGTAAGAATAAGGAATAAATCAACATAAAATACAAAAGTAATATAAGCATAAACTATTTATATAATACTTTAATTAGTTCAAGTAAAAATGTGCATATTATGACAGTATTTATCAACAATGAATATGTGAAAATATGTATATTACAAGTAAAAAGTAGTGTATTGACTGGTTCAATGTTTATTGCAAAACTTATTGAAATGAACTTATTGCACATATTAAACCTGGAACTAACAAAGCTTAAATGATTGCCTATAAAAACAACATTAAACATTAAATAATCAGTTGCATTCATTTCTTATGTCTCTATCTGCAGCTTTTCCAGAGTCATTTCTTATGAGTACATTTTTCCACAGGCCAACAACAGCTTCAAAAAAACTATTTACCTCAAAGAACAAACCAAACATGCCCTGTTGTCGTGAGAGAAAAAGTGCAGAAGGAAACATCCATGTAAACTCAGTGTGCTGCTCTGTGATGCTAGTTCAAGCCAGATACTTGGCATCTCATCTTGGGTGCAAGTTCATCAATGTTTGGGGTCAGGCTCTGAGCTGAGGAGACCCTCAGGATGGAGTGAAGGTGTGCGTGCAATATACCGGCGGGCCAGATCGAATAGTAATTTAAAATAATCCTGCGGGCTGAAATTAAATTCACCAAGGGCCTGATTTGGCCCCCGGGCCTTGAGTTTGACACATGTGCTTTAATACATAATTATTGCTAAGTGTCATATATTATATACAAACTACACAAGCTCTTACAGATTCGATCTATGATGAATCTCTACGTAGAATCAAAGGCTTTTCTCCCACATTACTTCTTGAGAGACTCACAGTGAGTGCCCAAAAGAGTTCAGTGCTTCAGACCGATGGGTTTAAGTCTCCTGGACCTCTTACCTAACAGGCCTTTTTTGACTGTATTGCCACAAATCTACTTTTACTCACAGAAAAATGTATAACTAGCTACATCTCTCAGCCAGCCAAACTACTACTCAAGCAGCATGCGTTATGCCATCTACGGCAAATGTGCATTCAGGAAAGCAAGTTCCCGTAAAGGCGAGTGGATTTATGGCAGGCAGTGAACCAACGATAAAAAGAACGGCTCTCACCAAGTACGACTCGGTTCCCTTCGTTCGTACCAAAGAGCCGTTCAAAAGAATCGGATCGTTCCCGAACGTAACATCACTAGTAGTTTGGTAAACTAACCGACATTTTGTTACTTCCTACAGTCTGGCAAGATGTTCCACTACGCGGGCTGGTCGTGGCTGTGCGACCCCATGTTCATCGTCTTCGCTCTGGTCTTCATGCTCACCAGGCTGGTGGTGTTTCCCTGCAGGTAAATCATCATGTGGTTTAACAACATTTAATGTTCAGATATTTGCATATTCTTTCCAATTTTCCAGCCTGATGTTGAAATTACTTTGCATTCTTGAGAAGTTATTTGTTTAAGTGGTCATTGGGTTTGCAAGTCTGGCATCTAAGAGTAGAAATGGTAATCATTATGCTTAATTGGTGTTACAATAGTGAGGGTTTCTTGAAAAAAGTGTAATGCCCCAAAGAGTTTAAAGAAGCCATATTCTGCTGATGTTCAGGTGTATATCAGTATGTAGTGTCTCTACTTTAAAGAGTCCTCTCCTGCTGATGTTCAGGTGTATATCAGTATGTAGTGTCTCTACTTTAAAGAGTCCTCTCCTGCTGATGTTCAGGTGTATATCAGTATGTAGTGTCTCTACTTTAAAGAGTCCTCTCCTGCTGATGTTCAGGTGTATATCAGTATGTAGTGTCTCTACTTTAAAGAGTCCTCTCCTGCTGATGTTCAGGTGTATATCAGTATGTAGTGTCTCTACTTTAAAGAGTCCTCTCCTGCTGATGTTCAGGTGTATATCAGTATGTAGTGTCTCTACTTTAAAGAGTCCTCTCCTGCTGATGTTCAGGTGTATATCAGTATGTAGTGTCTCTACTTTAAAGAGTCCTCTCCTGCTGATGTTCAGGTGTATATCAGTATGTAGTGTCTCTACTTTAAAGAGTCCTCTCCTGCTGATGTTCAGGTGTATATCAGTATGTAGTGTCTCTACTTTAAAGAGTCCTCTCCTGCTGATGTTCAGGTGTATATCAGTATGTAGTGTCTCTACTTTAAAGAGTCCTCTCCTGCTGATGTTCAGGTGTATATCAGTATGTAGTGTCTCTACTTTAAAGAGTCCTCTCCTGCTGATGTTCAGGTGTATATCAGTATGTAGTGTCTCTACTTTAAAGAGTCCTCTCCTGCTGATGTTCAGGTGTATATCAGTATGTAGTGTCTCTACTTTAAAGAGTCCTCTCCTGCTGATGTTCAGGTGTATATCAGTATGTAGTGTCTCTACTTTAAAGAGTCCTCTCCTGCTGATGTTCAGGTGTATATCAGTATGTAGTGTCTCTACTTTAAAGAGTCCTCTCCTGCTGATGTTCAGGTGTATATCAGTATGCAGTGTCTCTACTTTAAAGAGTCCTCTCCTGCTGATGTTCAGGTGTATATCAGTATGTAGTGTCTCTACATGTCTCCATGCTTTAATGTTCAAAAAGCTCTTTATTTTTCTCATACTGCCTGTGCTGCAGCACCTCTTTTCACCCTCTGTCTGAAACCAGAGCCCAGTCTGCTCTGATTGGTTAGCTGGCCGGCTCTGTTGTGATTGGTCAACCGCTTAGAGATGTCCCGCCCCTTAGCCTATTACGTACATTGTGTCGGAGTGCTAGCCAATAGAGTGGAGCAGGGATGACGTATTTACCCGGAAATAAGCTGCTGGTTCCCTCGACAAAAAAGCAACAGGATTTCTTCATAGGATTTTGGAAAATAGCTCTAAATAATGTCTGTGGAAAACGAACCTGTTTGATAAATGCACGTTTTGTTCAGTCGGATAATCTCCACATGTCTACCCTACTTTTATAATTTTCTAATCATAAATCTAATCGCCAGAAGCAAAATGCTAACGTTATGCTATAAAGGAACTACAGCAGGGTCGCACGACTTCAACGTCACGCCGACTTAAGATCCATATTCAAACATACAGATTCAAAATTGTACAAGTTGAAGCGTTTGTTTTAACAGTTTGCAGGAGGCAGGTACTTGCTTTCAAGCAGAACAGGGGCAAACAAACTTAGAGGAGTGTTTACGTGTTCGGTGTAATGACGTACAACGTCCTCGACAACTTCTGTAGTCCTATTCAGCCACTTGTTAACAACCATCGTTTTTCAGACACGTCAACTCTTCAGAAATCACCAGTGGGGTCACTGCTGATGGATTTAATGTCGTAGAACAAAACGTGATCCGTCTCTTCAATGTGTCTCAACCACAGACCTTATTTCCAGCTGTTTTCCTAAACCCTATGGAGAAATCCCATTGGCTCTGAGACGAGGGAACAGGAAGTGGTAAAATGCTAACTCACTTCCTGGGTTTTAGGACTCGTCACTGCACCACTCTATAGACGACGAGTGTTACATAGTACACAGGGATTTTAGCCTTTGCAGACCATTTACATGCACTAAAACCTATAGAACACACTACAGGAAAGGGACAATGCCAAAAGCAGAATAGGGTCCCTTTAAGAACCCCCGGGCTAAATGCTATAACCGAGTTGTTTCGAGGTCAATACCAACACTGACTGTTTCCTCTTGTGTTCCAGAGTGATCCACACCACCTTGGTGCTCTCCATGGACTTCTTCCAGCCCTTCTTCGGGTATTACTTCTTCAACGCGCTGCTCTTGGTGCTGCAGGCTCTGCATGTCTTCTGGGCGTACCTCATCCTGCGCATGATCTGGAAGTTTGCCTTCATGGGCAAGGTGAGAGGAGTGCAAATAACTGTTTAATCATATTGTATTTTATTCCCTGCAACTCCCTCCACTACTTAAAGTGGACCTATCATGCTATATTTGAATAATATAGTGTAGGACCATACCTATATAAGGCATATTTATAATTTTTTTTTTTCAAAATACCAAACAGATCATGCATTTTAGCCATGCCTCATTTTGCTCAATTTGACATTTTTTAGCTCTGTTTTTGCAAGGGCAGATTCTGTGAGAACAGCACCATCTACAGGCCTGGCATATGTACTACAGCGTCTCCAGCGCTTTCGAATGGCAATGGCCGTGGCTGTCTCCTCCTGATTGGTGGAGTTGGCCCAATAGCCGTAGCGCCACCGTCCTGACGTCAGGACAGTGTTCAAATCTGGATCAGTTTTTATCAGATCCGTTGCAGCCCCTTTTTTAGAGATTTGGGTATGGAGGAAAATAGAGAGGGTTGTGTTTTCTGACACTTGGTGAGTTCCCTGGAACACCGGGGACACATATTCATGTATAAAAGACGTACAAAAGTGCATTTTGCATGATAGGTCCCCTTTAAAAAAAAAATGTTGTGCTTGTAGTTGTACATGTTGTGTATTAACATCAATACAAATTTGATAAAAAAAAAAAAACAATTTCACTCTTTTCTTCACAGGTGGAGCGTGATGAGCGTAGCGACGAGGAGAGCGAGCCGGACGACGATGAAGAGGAGGAGCAGGAGGAAGAGAGCGGCTGGGAGCAAAGGAAAGGAACGATGAACTCCAAACTGGCGTCGCTCGCTGACAACTGCGTCCTGAACAACCTGACCAACCAGAGGAGCATCAGCCGGCTGCCCAAAGCCAGATAGTGGAGGAAAGTATACATGATTTCCCTTAAAGTCTACTGGAGATATTATCATTTCTGACATATTGATACACTTGGCGTGTGTACGTCCAACATGGTCCACCGATGATTTCAGATCAAAGTAGGTCTGCATCCTGCTCATTTAAAAGGGTTTTAAATAGGACGAAGAAGCACTATGATTGTAAATCTCAGGATGAGGTTAGGAGGAAACACCATCTTTACACACTGTATACTAGAAAAATATATTTGGAGAAATGTCCTTTACAGAAAATAATTTTCTTTCGCCAATTTATGAAATTTATTATCAAATTTATTTTTGAGTGCCACAGTGACGCGTCCTAAAACCTGGAAGTAAACTCCTTCCGGTTCCTTCGACAAAAACCAATGCAATTACTCCATAGGATTTTGGATCTATCGATCATAAGTCTATCGATTAGATTTATGATTCAAAAATTATAAAAGTAGGGTAGACATGTGGATATTATCCGGCTGAACAAAACGTGATCTGTCTCTTCAATGTGTCTCAACCACAGACCTTATTTCGAGCTATTTTCCAAAATCCTATGGAGAAATTGCATTGGTTTTTGTGGAAGGAACCGGAAGTGGTAAAATGCTAACTTACTTCCGGGTTTTAGGACGCGTCACTCTATAAAGGGTTTCTGATTCTGATAAAAAGAAAGCATACATTTTATTGTATTATATTACTTTTTTGTCAATGCAAAAGGATACAAGTTCTTAGACTTATTGCGTTTATCTTTCTTGATCAAGGAAAACAATTTTTTTTACCACACAAAATCAAACTGGTTTAACCTAATGTGTTTTATAAAGAGCGGAATTGAATAGTAATTCGCTCCCACAGCTTTGTGTCGATGTACACAATATGTTTGATTGTATATGGACTATTAAGAATATTGATTGTAGTAAATATGTTGATAAGCCATTTTATGTCTATTTTCTTGCGCAACCGGTCATTTCTGTTGTTACATAAAGAAGATTCGCTAAACGCTCTTGCAATAGTTACTTAAGGAGGATAAAGATATTCTTCTGTTATAGGATTTAATGTTGTCAGTTAAAGGGGCCCTATTGTGCTTTTGGGGTTTTCCCTTCCCTGCTTTTTGAACATTAAAGCATGGAGACATGTCCCAGTAGCAGGGACGCGGGAAGGGGGGGTGCTGAGGAGGCTGCAGCACCGCCATCTGTTGGTGGAGAGTTGCAATGCCAAAAACGCCAAAAAGTTCACTAAACAAATCAATACAAAAGTTTTATTTTGAGTTACTATTTTTGAGTTAGCATTTCAGTATAAGCTGTCTATAAAAAGCTTCACTATATAAGAGAAAGTGATCATGCGGTGTGCTTCTTCTGTTGCTCTGCTATAGAAAAGAAGCTTGTCAGTGCAGACAAGATCAGGGATGGGAGTTTTGTGAAAGGAGGGTTTAACAACTGGCGAAAGGCAGGGGAAACATTTAGGGAGCATGAGAAGTCCCATCAACACACAGGCCGCCAACAAACTGACAGCATTAAAACGAACACCGATGAATGCGCTGCTCTCACAAGCTGTTTCTAAAGACCAAATTACTGCATTTAATATGACGTTATTATACAGGGCCGCCCCTCCCTACACGCAGATCACGCAGACCCCTCGCGGATGGGGCCTCATTTTGCTGAAGGAGCCTCCTCTGAAGCGCAAACGCGGCGCACCTACAGTGTAGCACGCCACAGTTTCGCCGCTGCGAGGCTCCACTAGCACCCCCCACCGCACCTGCACGCCGCACCCCCAACTCTGACTGACCTCCCACGTCCCTGCCCAGTAGAGGCACTACATACTGATATTAACCTAAAAAAGGCAGAATAGGGCCCCTTTAAGATTATTTCTTAGAAGAGATATGGCGCCCCCTAGTGCACAAAGAATGTATCACTCCCCGTGTCTTAAAATAAATTATGCCTTTAGGAAGAAATGTAATGCTCCGAGAAATATGTACTTAATATGTACTATGTGTGTGTTTTGTTTCATTTCTTGTTATGTGAAAAGCAGCATGATTGTTAAACAAAAGTTGTGTTAAGGTTTGCTCTGCTGGACTTTAGTTTTCTGTGCCTTGGCTGCTGTTTTTTACACTTTTTTGTGACAAGTTCTGACAGGATTTTCTGAGCAGCTTTTTACTGAAGAAATAGTTGAAATGTTTTGCTTTAAATGTTAGTGAGGCTGGTAGTGAATCGAAAGTAAGCCATGACATGTATGCAATCAGATGGGCATTAGTGAAAAGTGTCTACAAAGGTCAAATGCTTTATAAAATTTAAAGATGCAATGTTTTTTATAAAAGCTGAAGGCATATTTGGATACGACTGCAATGGGATATGACTACTTAACTAGAAAATAGAGGTCATTTAATGTCTCCATGTATTTAAACACAGTGAAATATACATATACTAACAATATAGCACAGAGAAATCATCATCATTCATTATCATAAACAGGTGTTAAGGTAATGAATGATGAGGTTGTATAACCCACACTAGATTTTATTAAAATTTAAAATAGATATTATATTAAAACCAGGGGAAATGTTATGCTTCCATGACGGTAACACTTGACTGTTCTCTTATGAGTGCACATTGATGCTTTGTTGATTGGATGGCCCGTTGTAATAAAATACTTCTATTAAATAAATCAGCACTTCTGTTTTCATTTCATTGCAATATATATTCTTTATAAAATTGCTTTTTTAAATGTTATATTTCACCCAAATCATGACCTCTTTTAAAACATTTCCGGCAAGTGTTCTTAAAGACACTTATAAAATCTCTTACATTTTCGTTGTTTTAGCAAATGTACATATACATGCAATTAGACTGTCGGGGGACACCTTACTTCTTCCTTCTCTCTGTCTGTACCTGTGTACTCTCATGTTCCCAATAACCCAGCTTCCCCCAAATTTATTTTTGGTGTCTATCTACGCCGGGATCCTGAGTCGTGGCTGAACCTGTTGCTGTGGTCCTGAGTCCTGGATCACGACTCCTGGATCCTGAGTCCTGATCTGAGTCCTGGATTTGGAGTCGTGGCTGAACCTGTCACTGCGGTCCTGCCTGACTCTCATCATACTACTTCCCTGATGGCTCCCACAGGATTGTTGACATCCTCGTGGATTCATCTTCTTATTATAGACACATGCATTTGCAAACATTTGGTCTACCTATGTTGTAAATGTATTATCTCTTCGATTTACACACGGCATCTATTGCACGTCTGTCCGTCCTGGGAGAGGGATCCCTCCTCTGTTGCTCTCCCTGAGGTTTCTCTCATGTTCCTTTAAACTGTGGGGTTTCTCTGGAAGTGTTTCCTTGTACGATGTGAGGGTCTAAGGACAGAGGGTGTCGTATTGTCATACTGATATTCTGTACAAACTGTGAAGTCCACTGAGACAAATGTAACATTTGTGATATTGGGCTATATAAATAAACATTGATTGATTAATTGATTAAATTAGATCCCAATATGCGATATGCTATTAATAAGCTCTGAAGGCACTTTTAAATTCAGTTTTAAGTTTTATTCAAGGGTTTTAACGAACATTTAGGCTGGGTCTTATCGTAAGCATGACCATACTTCATTCAGATATCTTCATATATTTTACCTTTACCAATTCATTTGCCAAGTGCAATTAAGATATGTCATAGAGTTGTCCATAGTGTGCTGCAGTGAAGACTTATTTTTGTAAGGCAACCAGGAAGTGAGCATCGCAAAAGGTTCCCTCAACAAAAAGTTCTGGATTTTTCCATTGGATTCTGGAATATTATAGATAATAAGATCTGTGGCAAACAAAGGTTTATGATACTTTTATATTTTGTTCAGCAGGATGATCTCAACATATTAACACGACTTTGTGATTAAGCACAAAGACAATCTCCGCAAGTGAAAAGGTATCGTTAATCTATAAAGTATCTGAATCACATGACTTCTCGTCACCACCGCTAAGCTAATGGCGGCTAATATTTGCAGTGATTTCAGTTGTCCCATTTTGCCATTTGTTAGCATCGGCTGTTTTTAAGACTTATAGAAGCTTCAGACATTCACCAGTTGGGTATTTACTGACATATATTATGTTGTAGAACAAAGAGTGGAACTATTTTCAGCTTCTGTTAACCATAGACCTTATTACAGGTGTCAAACCAAAAGCACGTTGAAAAAACCGTTGACTTCAAGATAAGGGGACCAGCAGAGGTCGACTGAATCCTGCAGCTCTCATTTGCAGTTTTGATCACATTTCTATTAATTGTACAGCCCTTAAAGGTCACCTATTGTGCAAAATCCACCTTTTCACGTATTTTCTACATCAACATGTGTCCCCTCTGTGTAAAGAGATTCTGGAATTTTCAGGAACAAAGACCCCTCTCTTTTTGTCCTGATCCAATGAGCTGTCTGAAAATGAGCTGATCAGATTTTGGCCACTTTATGATGTCATAACGATTTTTTGGCTTGTGTAACCATTAGCCAATCACCAACCAAGGTAACCCCCCCCCCCCAACCTTATCACCTGAATCTCCTCCTAGAGCACCATTGTGTTCTTTTTAACCAAATATCTCTCAGAGGGGCGTGGGGAGGGGCTCCTTATTTTCATCTAAAGTAACAGACAGAGAATCAGCACTTTTGAAACAGGGCTGAAACAGAGGGGATTATGGGTAATGCTGCAATGATCTGTTTGGTATTTGGAGCTAAACAGATCAGAGACACGTTTTGTTTATATAATGTATTGATGAAAAACAGTATAATAGGGGACCTTTAAATGTTCTTGCACCATGGTGTCCATCACGTGACCATCCTCATGGTGACGCAGCCTCTGAGGGGCACCGGGCAGGGGATGGCGTCCTCCACCTCGAGGCAGGTGTCTATGTACGGGTCCATCAGCACCATGTTGGGGAATGCTTTGTTGCTCTTCCTCTCGCTCAGCAGGTAAATCTGCCCGCTGACGGTGGTGCAGCCGCAGAAGAACTTCCTGTCCAGACACTCTTCATCCTGCACCGTCCACTCGTCCGTCTCCACGTCAAAACGCAGCGCCTGGCCTCCAAACAGGTAGAGGGCCCCGTTGAGCTCTGTGGCGACCAGGTCATATCTGTGAGAGGGTTAGAATAAAGGAAAGTAAGGCTGAAAGGAGAAGCTATTTGGAAACAAAATACATATTAAGAAATACTGGTTTGTGTCAGGAAAGAGGGTTCCTATAGATTAAGACAAATTACATTTTTTTTATATTTTTTAAATGCCCCTTTAAATTTAGGACTATATCCAAAAACAGATCCATTACTTATTGGCATAAGGAGGATTTTTCTCATTGGTTTGTGTTAATGTAAAATATGTGTTTTGGTGCAGGAACTAGAGCAGGGGTGTCAAACTCAAGGCCCGGGGGCCAAATCCGGCCCGCGACTTCATTTTATGTGGCCCGCAAGAGCTTGCAAAGAATAACATATGTTTATTATACGGTTTAATGCCGCTTTACAGAAGCACGTTGTCCATAAACTACATGTCCCACAATGCATCTCATTTCGTGACATGCCACTGAAGAGATTTGCAATTATTTGTAATGAATTGCCCTAGACTTCTACTTTCAGATGTAGTTAATTATAAAGTTACTAACCAATCCGATAATAATCCAATGCATAGGCAATAATGTAATATAATAAATAATTGTATATATATTTATATATGTACATATACATACAGTTACAACCGGCCCTTTGAGTGCAACCTTAATGATAATGTGGGCCCCGATGAAATTGAGTTTGACACCCCTGAACTGGAGTGTAACATAACAAAAATGTATATAATATATGAGTTTTGTTGGTTCCCCTATCCAGATCTGCATGAAACGATTGCAAGATTTGGTTCATTCATTAAACCATTTGGTTAGTTATTATATATTTTCAATACTTTTAAGATTTAAAACGTATTGTGAGAAAAACAAGATTTATAAAATCATACTTCCCATGTGTGAGCATTTGTGAGACTTTTAAGATAAGATAAAACAAACGTTATTAAGGAAACAATTAAAGGGGAATTCAGGTGTCAGAGCAGCAACAGCAAGAAAAGTGAAAGACAAGGATAACGGAAACAAAAATGTGTGTAACAGTATGAGTAATAATAACAAGACTAGGGTAAAGTACAGTACTTATTGTTATAGTTGTATGTAGGGATGAAGCCTTGGTTATGACATTAATTCAATCATTTTAATACTTATTTTTCAGATTAATTCAATACCTTTCAAGACTTTTAAGATCCCAGAAAATGCCAGAAGAGAAACATTTCACCCACCGTGGAAATGGAGAGTATGAGACCACGTCCCACTGGTCCTCCTTCACCCTGTACCTCTGAACCCCCGCGTACACCTCCCCGTTCTCATCCAGTCCACACGCCACGTAGATGCAGGAGTCCATAGCCACAGAGGCGGCCCTCTCCACGGCTCTCACCATCGGGCTGACCTCCTCCCACTCCTCTGACCCCAGAACCAGCCTCTCCACGTCCCCCAGCAGCCCCTCGTCCACGCTGCCCCCCAGCACGTACAGCACCGAGTCCAGACCCGCGGAGCAGTGGCTGTGCCGGGCCGTCTGCAGGACGGGACCCTCCACCCAGACCTGGTTCCCACAGTCAAACATCCGGACCCAGTCCACGCAGAACCACAGGACGTCCCGGAAGTGTCCGCCTGTCACCACCACATTGTCTCCTACACATCGTGAGAGAATCAGAACAGAATTAAGAAGTGTTGTATTAGGAAAATGATGTTTAATGTCCAATAAGTAGGATTTGGTATAGGTCATTACTTATTTTGATGATGTATCATTCAAATTTCAGAATCAGAATCAGAAACAGGTTTATTACCAGGTAGGTTGACACGTACGAGGATTTTGACTTGATGTCATGGTGCATATACATAAATTAAAACAAACATTTAAAACACAGATAGAGAACTAGAAAAATATTTAAAATTATACAAAATATAGTAAAATATAGCAGTATTTACATAGATATAGAATGGAATAAAATATGGAATAAATCAAATTGAATAAAATATGGAATATATAACGAGATAGCATGTTTTCTGTTGAATCAATAGCCTATATCAAATAATCACATGCTCTACTCTGTTGATCAGTAAGTGGTAATGTAAATTAGTGGTAGACACATTAATGCCATTTAGAGAAAATTAGCATATATCCTCACAAGGCTTTATTATGGTATGTAACTGAGCCAACAGCACAGGGCATTTGGCCTTTCGTGTAAGAACAAAGACAGACATTGGAAATACATTTACACATAGCACATAAGAGAAATACACATTCAGCCCCTCACCCATCATCAGTTTCACAGGGACCCTCATCTTCATCACTATCATTCACATACCTACTGCAGCTACTGAGTACTGTGTGAGGTTCTTCCTCTGCAGGGGGGGACAGCTCTGCCACCGGCCGCTGAGCGGGTGGAACTGATAGAGCGGCTGCTGCTCCGTATCGTGGGGTCCTCCCAGAACAAAGAGGGTCTCTCTGGCCCTGGCCCTCGTCATCGACCTGCCCATGGACCAGGACTCTGGGAAATGTTCATTCAGCATGCAGATGAGCTTGGCTCTGGGGTCGTTGCTCGTCATTTTCACTAAAAGTTGAGTAATGAACGGTAAAGAGAGCGACTCCGGCCTCACTAACTGAATCAGCTCCAGGAAATGTTCCTCTCTTTTGGGGTCAAACGACACCCAGCGTAGGGTGGCCTCCAGGGCTGCATCATCTGTATGGATGGCAAGGTCATCACAAGCAATAAGGTCTGCTACGGACTCCTTAGACAGGGACAGGAAGTCCTCTTCTGAGGTGATAGCAGAGAAGTGTGTGAGCGCCACATTGCGAGCAGCGTTGTGGAGCTGAGTGCAGCCCAGGCTCCAGGCGTAGCTCATCATCCCCAGACAGTTACTGAGGTGCAGCTCGCGCTCCAGGAACTTGCAGCACAGCAGCCTGGCTCGCTCCAGTTGTAAAAAGTCTGCCGTCTCAAGGATCCCCAGAACATTCTCCCTGTCCAAAACTAGTTTGGAAGTCTTGCTGTAGTCCATTAAAACCCTGAAATGCTTCACACTCACACATTTAATCTCTATTCTCCTTTTGCTGCTCTCTAGGCCGCCGCCAAAAAACAAAGCCCTGAAGTAAGGACTCTGGAGGGCGAGTCTTTGACGGTTCACATAGAAACTCTCTCCTTCTACCTGCAGAACTGCATCAGGGATCACTTCAGGCGCAGAGTTAGTCACATGTAGAGCAGATTCGTCCTCCTTAAGTTTGTCTATCTGTTCAGAGAGAAGTGTTAATATAAAGCTCTGAGGTTTCCGCTCAGGCTCGGCTCTGCAGGCCATGTCAGAGCCACACCGAGGGTCTTCTGCACAGAGCCTCGTCTAGTTTACAACACATACCAACTGGTGGTATTAATAGATCCCCCCCTGACTGACTGCTGACCAAATGCAACCAGGAAAAGGAGGTCAGTTTGAAAAACACATGTTAGAAATTGTCAAATGTAGAGTATTCCAATTCATTCAATATTTCCTTTATATTGTGTATTATTTAGATACTCTAATTCAGGGGTGTCAAACTCAAATACACAGTGGGCCAAAATAAAAAAATCGGTACTAGTTGAGGGCCGGACTGGTTCAATGTTTATTGCAAAACTTATTGAAATGAACTTATTGCACATATTAAACCTGGAACTAACAAAGCTTAAATTATTGCCTATAAAAACAACATTAAACATTAAATAATCAGTTGCATTCATTTCTTATGGCTCTATCTGCAGCTTTTCCAGAGTCATTTCTTATGATTACATTTCTCCACAGGCCAACAACAGCTTCAAAAAAACTATTTCCCTCAAAGAAAAAACCAAACATGCCCTGTTGTCTCAAGAAAGAAAGTGCAGAAGGAAACATCCATGTAAACTCAGTGTGCTGCTCTGTGATGCTAGTTCAAGCCAGATACTTGGCATCTCATCTTGGGTGCAAGTTCATCAATGTTTGGGGTCAGGATCTGAGCTGAGGAGACCCTCAGGATTGAGTGAAGGTGTGCGTGCAATATACCGGAGGGCCAGATCTAATAATAATTAGAAATTATCCTGCGGGCCGAAATTAAATCCACCAAGGGCCTGATTTGGCCCCCGGGCCTTGAGTTTGACACATGTGCTCTAGTGATATACGTCTTTTTTTTTACCATCTATCCATATATCCATCTAGCTATCTATCTAATTTAGATAGATAGATGCAAATTCATTGATGAATAAATTCCAATAATGTGCCCCTTGTTTACAAAATATTAAGAAACTGATGTCAGCTCATCGTTTTGATTGATGAAAAAATGTTTGATTTTTTTTTAAACAATACAAAAAAATTCTAAATAAAAAAATTATTTAATTATTTAAATAAAACGATATTAGAAAAAAAAGAAAATACAAATTAAAAAATCCAGAACATGATAAAAAATATATTTTTTAAATCAACAGAAACCTCCGAGCTACGGTCCCTACTCAGTGGGGCTGCTGGGCTGGCTAGCCTTACATGTTGAAACAAATAATTTTCTAAAAAAACAACAAAATGAATAAATAATAATGATATTTTTCTTTAAAAATAATAACATTAAAACGTTAAATCAACCAAAAGGAGTAGGGGGACGACCCCCCTAGAATCTCTCTGGGCAAAAACATATCTTAAAAAAAGTAATGAGGAAACGTATCTGCTAAGATTAAGAAATATGATGCATTGGGTCAGGGAGACTTTTATATTATTGAAGAGTTAATAATGATAATTTAATATTTGGGGGGGTACATGATTCTGGTCCACCCTCCAGCACAGCAGGTGGCGATAATGCACCTTTAACGCTGGTTGCCGTCCACAATAAAAACCGTAGAAGAAGAAGAGAAACATGGCGGTGAGTTCGTGTTTTGTTAGCTTTCATTCAAACTTAACTTCACCTTTCTGTTTTTACACATTATAATGAGCATATTAAGACAGTAATTGTTTATGATGAACATGACCTGTAATGTGGATGAAATACTCGAGAGTTGGGGGGCGTTTTTGTCGCATTTGCTAACTTGGCTAGCCGAGTAAAGCTAACATGTGACTTAAAAGCACATTTTATCTGTTTCTTTTGCAGGATAAAGAAAAGAAGAAGAAGGAGAGCATCTTCGACTTGTCGAAATACATCGACAAGCCGATCCGTGTTAAGTTCCAAGGAGGACGAGAGGGTAAGAGCATTAATACTGGTGATGAAGAGCTAATGCTAACAGAATCAGCCGGTGCAAACATTAGCTTCATGATTGGGATTTGTTTCTCTCTTAAACAGAGGTGTAAAGTAACTGAGTACATCAACTCAAGTACTGTACTTATACTTTTGAGATACTTGTGTATTTCCATTGTATGCTACTTTGAACTTCTACTCCACTTCTTCAATTCTGAGGTAAATGGTCGGTGTACTTGTACTCCACTACATGTATTTGTATTAGTTACTTTACAGATGTGGATGAATGATGTGAAATATAATCAACTCTTAAATCAGACTTTAGTTCCACCTGGAGTAAATTCACAAGCTACCCTGCAGTATACAAAGTCATTCAAACTAGCTGCACCTTTACCAGCTTTGAGAACACTTTAATGATCAATCATTATAAAACATATCATATATATTATTCTGAAATGGACCAATCTGCACAATGACTACTTTTAAGTATATTTTGATGCTGATACTTTTGTACTTTTACTTGAGTAACATTTTGAATGCAGGACTTTTACTGTAACAGAGTATTCCTACACTCTGGTACTTCTATGTTTACTCAAGTACTTCTACACCTCTGCTCCTCAAGTCTTTTAATTGATCCTGACTAATGTGAACTTTACTCTGTGTTTCCTCTCAGCCAGCGGTGTTCTGAAAGGATTCGATCCTCTGTTGAACCTGGTGCTGGACGGCACAATCGAGTACATGCGTGGTAAGTTACAAACTGTGCAGGAAATGTATACTTTTTATTCTTTTCAGTTACTTTTATTTTGAATGCATACTGTGTCAATTGCGGTTCACATGTTCGCTGTCTTAAATAGGGTACACTTTCCAAAAATAACGTGTGTACTTAAAGGTGGGGTAGGTAAGTTTGAGAAACCGGCTCGAGATACACTTTTTGTTATATTCCATGGAATGCTCTTAACATCCCGATAGCAATGAATATCTGAAGTGCTTTGACAAAAAATCCATAAAAAAATGTCATCTGTGGAAGCTGTAGTACTGTAAAAAGCACGACCAATCAGCCGGGCCGGCTAAAATAACTGGATGGCCTACCTGCCTGTCAGCCTTCCATCTGTGCACAAACTTATCTCGTGCCCTCATTGGTCATGTGCGCGTTCGTGTGTGTTGGAGGAGGGGCTCTGTAAGGAAGTGGCAGATTTTTTCCAACTGTGTATTTTCAAATTCGAGCGCACTCGAGCTGGTTTCTCCAAAATGACCTACCCCACCTTTAAGTTATTCCTTACATCTGAAGTTAAATGATAATGTGTGTGTACATGCAGATCCAGACGACCAGCTGAAGCTGACAGAAGACACCCGGCAGCTGGGGCTGGTGGTCTGCAGAGGAACCTCCGTCGTGCTCATCTGTCCTCAGGACGGCATGGAGTCCATTCCCAACCCCTTCGTACAGCAGCAGGACGGCTAACACACGCACACACTTCAAATTACACACACACGCACACATTTGAACATCTGGTGGAGTTTTTGTTTTAATTGTTTCTAAGCATAACTGTAATAATGCGCCCGATAAAGTAATTTTCTGTTGAGAATCATTTTTAAGTTGATGAACGGATGGACACTTGAAAGCACTTCACTGTTTGTCCGGTCCGTGGTGTGCACGTTTTTGCGGAGATTTGAGTTAAGAGGCCACACTTTTGGGAAAACCATTTTCTTTTCATTCACAATAAGAACCTTTTTACTATTCTTTGTTTTTTGATAAAATAAAATAAAATAAATGTTTGTTCAAGATGTTGTTCCCTCTTCAAATTCAAAAGCTTTTATTGTCATTGTACAGAATACAACGAGATTTATAGTTACTCTTGTTCTTGTACACATTGGTTGTGTGGATGGAAAACTCGGATGTAGGAATCCAATTCCGTGATTTTTAAATGTGATCCAGAGAACCATGAAAGTTGTAGTAAAAGCTGGTTTTAGTCGACTACAACACAAAACGTTTCCGTCAACTTTTAGTCATTCAGAACAGCGCTGCTAGGATCCTGATGAGGGTGCGCAAATATGATCACATCACCCCCATCCTTAAATCACTACACTGGCTCCCCGTGGAACTGAGGATCGAATTCAAGGTCTCCGTCCTCACCCACCAGTGTGTCCATGGAACTGCCCCTCCCTGCCTCAAGGAACTCCTCACCCCCCATACCTCCTTGCGGACCACCCACTCCAGCAATACCAACCTCCTCAGACCCCCCCAGTACCAAGCTCCGTACTATGGGAGACCGGGCCTTCTGCTCTGCTGCTCCCAGTCGGTGGAAAGCTCTCTCCGACCACATGAGAGCACCACAGACCGTGGAAGCTTTTAAAAAAGGCCTCAAAACCCATCTATTCAATAGAGCCGTTCCCTAGACCTTTTATTTATTACCACCCTTTTATTTTATTTTTATTGTTTGTTTTTTATTGCTTTTTAATAATTCTACCGTGTTGTCTACTGTTTTTATACTGTTCATGCTCACTGCTTGTAGCACTTCGGGATTTGAAGTCAAATATGAAGTGCTTTATAAATGAAACCCATTATTATTATTAGTCAAGATATATTCTCTTTATTTCCTCTGCTATTTTTTAAATAAATAGTCTTAGATCAATGTCAAATATCCTTTTATATTCATTACATTTCAAATTACAGTCTTGTCTTGTCAAGGCAATAATTTGGTCATTTTAGTCAAACTTATTCCACATACATTTAACCATATCTGATGGAATAACACGGGTTGAATGATAAACAATGCAGCCTTGCTCCCGCTTAAAAAACAGTGATGCGTTTCAGGAATGCTAAAGTGTGTTTGTGAGACAAAGAGCGAGGGACAGAGGAAGTGTAGGGGGACAAAAAATTAGGTTTTGAATCTACGATACAATAACAATATTGTTGATTTTGTCAAAGTGTGTCATGGTATCGGTGTCATCTCCTCATCAACACTTCCAGATCACACAATGTTGATGAAAGTGAAAACACTTAGTTGTGTTTGCCCTGTGGTTCAGATCTACACAGAAACTAATTAATATTTGCTTTGCTCATTATTCCACCAAGTTTATTGAGGCTGGTAGTTTAAACTAATCTTCAGGGTTCGTACGGTGCTGGAAATCCTTGAAA